TTGGCCTGACACACTACGCCCAGCTCACATGTCCATGGGGATAAGGTAAATGCCCCAATTGGTGAGCAGAATCTCACCAGAATCCGCGTGGCTCTTCCACGGCTCATCGTCATTGTGAGACAATTGGGCTGCAAACACCCGCCCCGCGTACGGCGCAAGCAAGCTCAGCACCATGTCAGAATTGGTCCTAGTCGCCTCATTCAGGCGCCGGCAGAGCTCCTCCGCACTGACCCAGGGCGGAGGCTGATTCTGCGCGATGAAATCCCTCAGCTGCTCACCGTGCTTCTGGCGAAGCTTCCTCTGAACAATCCTGGGCCAAGGTCACAAGGCGCTTGAAAGGTTGGCCACGTTGCAAAAAAAACCAAGGTGACAAGTTGAAGGGCTACTATAGATGTCAAGTATCTTCAGCAAAGGGTGGTCATCCGCATCCGAACCGTAGACAGCGAAGCACCCTGGCCCATAGTACCTTGAACTGGATGCTAGTCAACCGCACATCATTGACACGAAACAATAAGTGAGTCCAGTTGCAAGATGTAGAATGTAAAAGTTCATGGCAAAAACAATCCTCATGGAGGTTGAAAATAGAAACAGTTGCTGGCTCAGAACACGATGCGTGCGTCTGACTTCTGGCACCAGTCTGGCAGGGCCCTCCGCGGACTTCGCCGCAGCCAGGGTCAGCATCCTCAAAGTAATTTACGCTCAAAACATCTCAAAACTACAAACATCACTTCTTTGTGTGTTATTATGACTCTGGTTTACTTTGCTGGCGCTGAGTGGCCACTGTGTCAAGACTGCAAGCAACCTGGAAGCACGCCGCCAATTAATCTGAGACACCTCTCGGCAAGGAGCTCTGGCTGACGGGCACTGTGTTCAGCCACGTGCCGCGCTGCCACCATCGCAGACTCGACGTTTGGCACGGCCAACGCATCCAGGCAGGTACTCCATGATGAGCTCAATGTCTGCCGTTGACGGCATGGCGTCTGACCTCTGGCGTCTGACCTCTGGCGTCTGACCTCTAGGCGTCTCTGGCGTCTGACCTCTGGCGCCTCCTGACCCGGGGCAAGATGCTGCTTTGAGCCAAAGACAAGCCAAAACAAGTCTCTAGGCTGACACAACTTCAAAGCTCAGTATGGTCCTTATCACTGCCCATTCCTCAGGCACCCACAGTTCAGCTGGAACACCCAGGAGCTGCAATGATGGCACTGGCCTGAAGAAGCAGGGTAGGTGGAATCCAGCAACCATGCAAAATTCCCAGCCCTGAAGAGTCAGCGGTTCAAAGTCATCACTAGGTTCAAAACCTAACACTCAGCCACAATCACCCTGTGCTAAGCAAGAAGCAGAAGCCAAAAGCAAAAGCAGAAGGATCAACCATTTGGAACACAGTCAAGTTTTGAGGGGCAAGAATGATCACTGGTCCGGTTTTGAGGCCCCGGCCATGTCGCTGCCATGATGTTCAGAGGCTTGAGCCAGCCTGTTGGCCTTTAGCTTCTGCAATCTGGTGTCTGGTATCTGGCGTCTGGCATCTGGCATCTGGCGTCTGGCATCTGGCGTCTGGCATATGGTGGGATTTCTTACATCTTGCCCCCTGCCTCAGACAACATGTCTTAATAAATGCTTTGTTGGTTTGGGCAAATTGTTGCAAATTGCCCAATGAAATAATAACTGCATTTAAATGGCCGCCCCACCCCCCCCCCCCACCCCCAGAAACATCCGATCAGCCAAGTGGGTTTGGAAACAAAATCAGGTGGCCTCAGTGATAGGGGTTCAAGGGGTGGGGATGTGGTGATGCGGAGTCCTTTGCTGGTGGCTGGGTTAGATAATGTTTCAGATCCCTAAAACACTCCCATCAGGCTATCACAAAGTAGGTGCGCAAGGGTGCCCAAGAAAGCGGGTGGTGGTGGTGGTGGTGGTGGTGGTTGGTTGGTAGCGGCAAAAATCTTTCGATAATGGTTGCGTTTAGTGGGGGGTTTCGTGCACATGACAATGACATGCTCGTGTGTACACATATATATATATATACACTACACATATATATATATATACATTGCCAAGTATAAAAGAACAACATACTCACATGTCATGTTGAAACACTACTTTCCACTGAGTCAATAGTTAGCACATGCTGACATGCCATGAGAAGGTATTTCGCACATTTTGAAACCACCAAATACAAATGAATCCACCAAATACCTTGGCACTGGCTTATGGGCTGAAACTAAATATATACATATATATACATATATATATATATATTGGGTCCATTATTCGAAATACCGAGTATAATTTAATTGAATACAGAAACCAATGTCCCCAGCCCGGCGTGTTTCTGGAATGAGGAAACATGCAAGTGTCAGCATTGTTTACTTTGTGTGCTTTTGGGGAAACATGGCGTCACAGAAACTAACCCTTCTTTGTGCTTGCCTACTTTTGTAGTCTTACCCAAATCGAGTCCCTAGGGAAGCTGAAACTTCGTGGTCGAGACAAAGCTGTACTAAAGCTCAGCTACTTGGGTGTTGCTTACGGCTTGAGGGGCCAGCTCCGCCGCTCCACCCCCTGGTTGTTGTATGGGGGAAAAGCGAGCTTGTGTTACCGCCGAATCGGCGAGCTAGCCGAAATTCATGCAGAAGCATCTCTATGAAAAGAACCTTGATTTTCGACTGAAGAGATGAATGCTCGAGACAAGCGTGTGAGCCCCGGACATGGGAAAATTGACTGGTTGGGTTGACTGGGTAGACTGCCAATTATTTTGTTACCGCCAGCTCGGGCAGACGCACCCGTGAGCAGCTACGGAAGCTTCCCCGTCATTGCAAGCAGGTATCAAGGCAATGAATGCCATGAGTAGCCAAGTTGTGCTTGAACGTATCCGGGAACCAGGCTAGGTTTGTCTCAACATGGGCCGCTACAGCTGAGCATCCAGCCTGTGAAATTCATTTCGTAGGTCCATATCACCGATGCTTCGGCAGCCCCTTGCCTGGGCAGCTGTTCTCGTGGCGCTGATCGCAGCAGAACGGGTTCATCAGGCGCCAGGGCAAATCGTTCTCATCATTGGGGTTGAGGGGGGGGGCTGTTGTGCTTTGCAATGCACTCTCCACAGCATGGCTTCGCTGACTGCTATTGCCTCGGCTGCTGTGATGTTCCGTAGCAAAGAAAGATTGCAACTGTTTGGCAGTTCGGAGGCAACAGCAGCATTTACAGATGCCTCCAGTTTTCAGTGGCAACTTGATGTTCCTTTTCTACGGCTGTGGTGTTTGTCCTCGACGAATCGGGCCGCGAGGTTCTTTGGGAGCGCGGCTGGGACGTCCTGCCGTTCCCCGACAGCTGTGACAAGCTGGTCTCGGGCGGGTTCCATGTGCCCAGGGAAGGCGTCCGTCTGCAGGACTGCACCATTGGCGCCGGGACGGAACTCGAGGCAGGGCGTTGTACGTAGTTGTTGCTTAGCCGCCTGGAAAGGATCCTTACAGCTCCAGACAGTGGTGCGAAAGCTTTTTGCAAGTGGGTGTTTCATCGAATTCCAGGGAAACAACCTTCCCCTGTTCGTTTACCGAATTCAATGAAACCACCAAGCGGGCTGCCGCTGCCAGATCCAGTTGGACGGGCCGTTGATCGTCGACGGGAGTCTCACGGTGCGGGGCCGCGCCAGTTTCAGGGCCAGGTCCGAGCCTTTCCAGGAGGCGGGGCCAATGTTGACGCGGATCCAAGCTTTCCGGCGTCGCCTTTCCGTTTGATGGATCCCACCAAGAGAATCTCTTGGAGCTGGAGCTGGAGCTGCGGATGTGTACTTCGCGTACTAGACTTGTACTGCAAAGTTGTGATTTTCGAGCTGGAGCTGCGGAAGTGTACTTCGCGTACTAGACTTGCACTACAAAGTTGCAATTTTCGAGCTGGAGATGCGGAAGTGTACTTCTCGTACTAGACTTGTACTACAAAGTTGCGATTTTCGAGCCGGAGATGCGGAAGTGTGCCTCGCGTACTAGACTTGTACTACAAAGTTGCGATTTTCGAGCCGGATCTGCCAAAGTTCGAAAACACTGTAAAACGATAAGGTCTCCCCCAAAAACGATAACGTTCAAAAAAGTACTAGGGCCAAGTAAAGTGTTTCGTCCGCTCCTCAGATGTTGATGTTGATGCTACCCGATCCGTCCTTTGTGACAAAGGCAACCAGATCGGTTTCAGGTTCCGTGGGAGTGCAAGAGTTCCAGGAGGTGCCGTTGGGGTCTGAAGAAAATAGCATGCCACGAATCCCCGAAGAGTCGCCCACAGGCTGGTGATAGCTGTTGGCTTTGGTTTTGTGGAATGTGGCCTCGGATCAAATATGAGAACATCTATGAGGCGTCATGTGGTTCAGCTCACTTCTGCTTCCCCATCCGACATCGCCCTGCTTCCGTTCATTGAGTTCCCTGTTTCATCGATTCTGTTTTCCTGATGCTCCAATCTGATGACTTTAAGTTGGCGTGGCAGACGAGAGCATCAGCCGCAGGAGAACGACGCGGTTTGTTTCGTTTCCGCTTCCTATCCGGTTTGTCTCAACAAAGTTTGACTCCATATTTGGCCTTTCGGTCTCTGAGATTCATTCTTGACAGGTGGACCAAGCAATTCTCTGTCCCAGCATGTTGACACAGCTCGGGGTTGTTGCAGCCGTCTCTCGCCGCAGCACGGCGGCGGATTTCGCAGGCTTGCCTCCAAGTGAAAGATGGCCTGACAATCTCCGGCCGTTTGGAGATATATGGCTGCCACAATGATGCAAATGATGACGAAGGCAGGGGCGATGTCATTGGAGGCTGCTTGAATGCCACCTCCTTGTCGATGGAGGACCGGCTGAGTTGGAGTTGCGCTAGATTCCAAACAAGGTCGATTGGTTTGCGGCTCTTGGGTGCCACTTTGCGGCCCAAACTGTTTGAGAATCAGCCCAAGGCTGTGGCTGGGCACGTTCGGGCACGTTGACTCTATGTAATTGTTCAGTCACTTGCGCGTTTTTTGCTTTTCTTTTTTTTTTGCCAGCGATGCGGGTGGCAGCGTTTCCTTGGCAGGACGGGAATTGGAGCCTGAAAAACTGCAGCTCGAAGGGAGCTGGAGGGTGCGCGGCGCTGGGCAGCCTGCATCAAAGGAGCGGGGCCTTGGGCCTTGGAAAGTCGCAATGTGAGGGTCGCCTTGTTGGATGTTGCGCTTGTCAGGGCCGGCAAGATGGACTTCACAAAGTGTAACGCGAAGATAGGTGGAGGACAGGGCGGGTCGGGGAGCTTGGTGCCTTATGGAGATGTGGGCCGGAAATGTGAGTTCCTGCCAGCCCGCACGCGCAGGCCTTTACGTGGCGGGTGATCTGGCCCAAGCTGGAGGTGAGATGATGTTCGAAGAGTGCTCTGCGTCGGAGCTAGGAGGAGGCGGCTCAGCTTGCGCCGGAGGCTTTGCGGTGCTCCAATGATTTCTGTCAGCCTGAAGGCTTGTTGAGTTGTGAAGAAACGTGCCCGGGAAACAGCGTGCAGTCCCCATGTGTTGCGTCACCAAGAGCGGGTTGCTTACACCCGAGGACTGAACGCGGGAACTCTTTCCACCAACGGCTGGACACGCTTCGACGAATGCAAAGCGCTTGGAGGCGACAAGTGTATGTGGGTGTCTGTGTCTGTGTCTGTGAGTGTGAGTGTGATTGTGTGTGATTGTGTGTGTGTTTGGGTGTGTGGGTGTGGGTTTCAAGAGACGAACGTGCGTGGTCTATTCCTTCGCAGTGCCCGAAAGGCGCCGGCGCCTTCGTCCACGGCGCCCTCCACCAGGGCCCCGCGGGCTCCCTCAGCTGCGTGTTCTGCAGGGCGCAGGGCTTCGGCGGTTGCCTGGGCGTCCACCGCGGCGGCATTGCGGCCGAGGGCCGCGTGCTGGCGTTCGAAGTGTTTGGGGGCGACGGTGCCAGCATAGCGGAGGCCTCAAAGCACCCCATGTTCCACGAGCAGTTGACCCCGGCGATGCGCGCGAACGGCGCCTCCGCCGTGGCGGCCTTCAAGGGGCCCGCCGCGTTCCACAAGCTTATTATTGCACAACAAGACAAGATTGGCCTTGCGGTGGCGGTGGATGGTCTGTTGGCGGCGCAAGAGCTGACCGTCTCTGAAGGGGCGCCCGCGGGGGTTGTAGCATGGGAATTCGATGTGAAGTCCGCAAATTGCGAAACAGCCATCTGCGCCTTTATGCTTAATTCTTCCAGTTCCAATTCCGAGTGCCTCGCAGACTTCAGGCAACATTTTGGCGGTTTTTGTAGCTGTTTTGGGGCTCTTTTGGGTTCTGCCCTCCGCTAAGGCACAACTTTAGTGCCCTGGGTGTGTGGCCCCGCTGCCGTGCCGGATCCGAAGTCAGCAATATGAGAAAGAAAGTTGGACCTGGCGTTGTCGCCCGCGGGTGCGACAAGTGCTCTGCAGGATATTTCCAGTTGCAGAGAAACGTGTCTGCCAGCTGCACGAAGTGTCCAGAACATTGGAAGTTGTGCGACATTGACAAGCTGGAGATGTTTCCGCGAACCCTGACTGCAAGAGAGACTTCAACCCGGGTGCAACAAGATGGCAGAGGGGTGTGGAAAGGGTCATGTGCAAACCAAAAAGGAGGCGACTACAGGATTTCTGTGCAACCATCAATGGCGCACTTGGAGCACACGTTGCCTGCGTCAAACGCCGAGGTTGGATGGCGCCCATCGACCCGGAGAAGCTGGAGCTGAACCCGACCAGAGAGGGACGGGCATTGCAGTGCCTCAGTGAGGCGGCCTGCCCTGGTGGGAGGCTGCAGCAAGACGCGGTGAAGCCGATGTGCTCAGAAGGCCACGGATTCTGCAGTCGAGTTTCCGGGAGGGGGGATGCCACGCACATGCATGCGCTGCAAACATCACAAATCTCAGGATGACAATTATTTGGGAACTGTTTTCGGAGATTGATTTCCATAGCGCACATCATGCAACTTGCGCCGTGGGTGCTTTTTTCTGCAAAGTGTTTCTTTTATCGCTATTATACTTTTTTCAACGGTCAGAGCCATGTTTGTTCATGTCTACGCTCTCATGCCGTTCCTAAAATGGGAGTCATGCTCTTTGCCGCCAACAGTGTAGATGAGATTCATGAAGCCGCGGCCGAGTTTTTGGCAAGTCCACAGTCCACAGGGCCCCAAGTCTTCATCGCCCTCAGGACGAACTGGCGTCCTGTGCGCTGCCTGCACCACAGAGTATTATGCCACCAAGGGTGAGTGCAAGAGGTGCACGGAGGTGTCCCAAGAGGACAAGTTGCACCTCTGGGGCATTGCCGCTGGTGTGGCCGCCATCGGCCTCGGCCTGGCTGGCATGGCTTGGCTGTCACGCGGCGCGGCGACCGAGTACTGGCAACAGGCCAGGGGAGCTCTGACGCTTCGAATTGAGAAGGAAGTTGCCCTTTAAATAGGCAAAAACAGTTCATGCTACTTTTTGAACAGTTTGCTGGAAAGGCAGACGTGCAGTGGCACGTGCTGAAGGAGCTTGCTGCTCGGCAGGCGGGGGCTGACTTGGATCACTTTGTTGTGGTTGTTGCGCTCCAGGCGGTGGTTCTACTTCAAGTAGTTCAGCTATATGGGGTTCTGGCAGCGCTCGTGCCAGATCCATCCACTGGCCAAGGTCCGGGAAGCGGATTCCTTGCGTCAGTTTTTTTAGGGGCTCCAAAGGCAGCTGGCGGCGTCCATGGAGCTTGTGACTTGCGAGAACATATTTTATAGAAAGCGGCCCTACCCCAGGGCGCCCCAAGGTTCCATTTTCCGCATTAGGCGCCCGTGAATCCTTCTGGGAACGCACCTACGTGGATGCGTTGCAGCTGAACTTGGCACAGGCGCAGGACAGCAGAACAGAGTGCTTTCAAATCGGGTTTGCTAGTATTTTTTGGTTAGTTGCTCTCAATGAATGAGAGTCGACTGGATGTCAACAGCGCGCGCGCGGCCTGCAGGACGCCTTTAGGTTTCAATGCCTTTGGGATGGTGACAAGGTGCGATTGGTGTTTGCGTTGGCATCCCCCATTGTGCCCTTGGTCCTGCTTCTGGCATGCGTTCTGCTGGAGATCATCAAGCCCTCCATGGGTGGCCTGGTAAGATGTCCAGAAGGGGAGCTGTGAAGAGTCAGGCGATTTACGCAGGAAGGTTCTTCAGTGTTGCCCTGACTCATTTCCACTCAGTTGATGGAAGCTAAGGTACCGGCGCCACCTTGAAGGTTTTGACTTAGCTAAATTCGAGAGTCATGAAAGAGCCTTCCATGATAGGGGGCTACCGTATGTGTACAGTGGGGTGCGCGCTATGCGTGCGTACAGTTGGCGCGCGGCGCGCGTACGGTGCGCGTACGGTGCGCGTACGGTGCGCGTACGGTGCGCGTACGGTGCGCGTACGGTGCGCGCAGTGTGTGCGCGGTAAACGTGCGACGCGCGTGCGGTGTGCGCGCGGTGCGCGCACGGCGCGCGCGATGCCGCATCCGGTGTGGCGGGCGCGCAGTGTGGTCCACTTCGGTCTAGCACACTCAGACTTTGCGGCGAAAGTGTGTGTGCCGAGATGTTTTGTTTTTTCCACACCTGATTTGTTTGTCCAAATATGATGTGTTTTTCGAAGTCGGTTGTGCGTTTTCACGCGCAGCTGCGCACGCAACCACTTGCGTATGAAGTAAACATCGCACGTGTTACATGAGTGTGTGAACTATAATTTGATAAAATGATCGCGATTGATTGACATATATCATGTGGCACATGTTTATGCTCACATGCTGGTCAGCTGGCATCAGGCCCAGCAAAAACAAGCAGAGCTTGCGCACCGCAAGACCAGACCACACAGATCTCATCTCTTTTTCAGCCCAGCCGCAACTCAGACTCAACCTTGGCTTTTTGTGGAGTGGTCTGCCAAAAGACATGTAGTTTGTCACAGGGCCGGCCGCGCATACTGTACTACTTACTACTTATCTTGCCTGAGATGAGTGTTGATGAGAGTTTCTCAAGCGCCAAGCACGCAAACAGCCAGGAGATCATCTCGAGTGTCATGTTCCTGTAGCCTTGGCTGCTGTGGGAAAAATGGGCATAAACTCATAAAACAAAACATGACAGAACAAATCACAACGCTAACAAAGATAACGAACGACCCTAGTACAGGATTGGGATCATCGAGTGCAAAAACATGTTTCCTGAGGGACTATGACCCTTTGGACCAAGTTTTAAGCGACGAACGACGGAACCGTCAAAACAGTGAACATGGACAAGCAACTCTTTCACCAAAGCCTCCAGATCTTGCGTAGGATAGTTCAATCACGCTAGCAATGAAGATGCTCAAGCGCGTTGTGGCCTCAAACCTCGCAGAGAAGACAAATTGAAGGCAAGGTTGCGTTTGACAGTTTTTTGGGAGCTGTTGAATGAAGGTGAGGTGAAGCTGCAATTAATGAGCTAAGTAGGAATTGTAGCCAATGTGTCTCAAAGTTTTCAAGTCTCTGTAGATTCAACGTTATCGGTTGTTGTGTAGTTACAGTATGCAGACCCCTCCTTCAAGAAGAAAGGGCGGTTGCTTCATTAATTCACAACTGTCCAGCTCAGACTCAAAATTCAGCGTTATGTGTTTGCTGCCAGCGATGAGTCCGGCGTAGATGAAGGACCCGGGCTCGCATCGTCATTACTGTACTTCACTCTCCATCCAGAATAGCTTTTAGCTGCACCGCTGGCTCTTTTGGATCTTAATGGTAAGGGATTTCTTGATGGCTGAGCAGACCTTCCGAGCGCATTGCTTGGAAACGGGCTTCTTTTTGTTTGGCCCCTAAGGCACGTAGGGCTAAACAAGCCGTCGAGAATGAAGTAGGTCAAATTTGGCAACGTTGGCAAGACACTGAACGGAAGCAGGCTATCGCCAAACAAGAAGTTTGATGCTTGTTACAGCATGATGCCCAAGAAAAGGTCCTATGATCTTGAGTGCAAATTTCGCAACCTCACATCAGGTCTTCCCCAGCATCACATGTCATGTTTTGGTCCAGGGAATGCTTGCGCTGGTGGTGTTGAGGATACTGCTGCTGCGTTCCTGTTATGTCCACACACATACATATATGCATATAGATCGGAATCATAAGTGACGCAGCGCAAACTGTCCATTGGGCCTTTGGAATTCGATTCATTCTAGGCCACCGTAGACTAGAGTAGGTCCCTCAGCATCACCAATGCTTTAGCAAAGGAAACGATTTGTTGTTTACTTACAGCGGTCATCACTTTGAGCATCATCACCAGTGTTTCTTAATCAAGAAAACGATTTCAACACATTGCGCGGGATACTCAGCTGGAATACTCGACAGACACAGCCGCCCGAACTTCGCTAGTCTCAATTTGTTTCTTTAGTTTTGTTTCTACAATTCAAATGTCATGTTTGGATTTGCTGGTGACGCTGGCGACGCAAAGGGGCAACATGTTGAGAGCGTTTTGTCCCAGACGCTAACGGTGTTTTAGCACGTGTACTAGCGCCTGACGTTCCCAGCGCCTGTCCGCTTCTTGAGAGTTGATGTTGCAGTGATCCGCAGACTAGAGTGCATCAACAGATCTTTAAGAAAGATACCGGTTTATTCTTTGCTTGAAGTGGTCATCACCACCAATATCACCGGCGTTTAGCTAAGAAACAACCCGATAAGCCCCAAGGGATTCAGCTTAGACGTTTCACAAGCCTCAGGCTTAAGTACCCATGCATTTACACATACACATGCCTTTGGCGTGGGGTCGGCAGCCCTTAAAATCATCAATCTCCTCTATGTTTTGGACCAGTGTGAGTCGGACCAGTAGGAAGTTCGGGGCTCGAGTAGAGTGATTCGTTATAGGTTCTGCAATCTGAAAAGCCGACTGAAAAGAAAGATTCAAGCAACCATCGCCACGGTTGTCAAGTGTCAATACTATATTTTGATGTCCGGGGACCAGTTTCCAGCCAGGTCCGTCATCTGATTTCTGAGAAGCGCCCAAAACCTTTTTTTTGGAACCCCACCGCCTGCATCTGGAGCAGCTCTCGCCCTTAAGTGTATGCTTGTGGAAAACCGGCGCGTCCTCACATTGGAGTCAATGAGTGTGGGTATTTCTTGTTACTGAGAAAGCAAAGCAGACCCAATGACCTGAAGCTGAGCTGGGTTCAAAAGCATCAGCAGCTAAACGCGCTGGCTGCGCAACGGACATGAGTCTCACGCGCGCCATACACGCGCACTGCGCGCTCCGCACACGTACACCGCGCGCGTGCGCTGTACACCGTACACGCGCGCGCGAGCGCGCCGCACGTACGTGCGCATTGTACGCGCGCGTGCCATACCGTACGACCACCGTATGCGCGGACCGTATGTGCGAAAAGAATACCGCAGATTTGAAAAAAGACGCAACAGATTTTGAAAAAAAACACATCAGATTTTGAAAAAAAACACAGCGGAATTCGGCGCACGCTTTTTTCCGTACAGTCCGCGAGTACGGTTCGCGCATACGGTACGTACAGCGCGCGCACGCACGGTGCGCGCGCGCGTGCGGTTCGCGCGCGCGCGTCGCACGTACGTACATGGCGCGCGCGCGGGTGCGCCGTGCCGTACGGCCACCGTACGCGCGGACCGTACGTACAAAAAAACACAGCAGATTTTGAAAAAACACAACAGATTTTGAAAAAACACAGCAGATTTTGAATAAAACACAGCAGATTTTTGCGCACACTTTTTGCGTACAGTCCGGGCGTACGGTTCGCGTGCGGTACGTACAGTGCGCGCGCACGGTGCGTACGTGCAGCGCGCGCGCGCTCCGCGCGTACAGTTCGCGCGCGCGCGCGTACGGTGTGTACGCGCGCGCGCGCGCGCGCCCCGTATCGTACGGCCACCACACGTGTGGACCGTACGTGTAAAAAAGTCACAGCAGATGTTGAAAAACCGCAACATATTTTCAACAAAAGGCAGCAGATATTGAAAAAAAACACAGCAGATTTTGGCGCACACTTTTTGCGTACAGTCCGCGCGTACGGTTCGCGTACAGCGCGTACAGCGCGCGCGTACGGTGAGCAGGTACAGTACGCCCGCGCAGCGCGCGCGTACGGCGCGCGCGTGCGTGCCCGCGCGTATAGTTCGCACGCGCGCGCGCGCGCAATGCGCACACACACACACACGCACACACCCGCACGCTGCGCGCGCACGTGACACACTTGTTCGCTGAAAGGGGGGGGAGTTTGCAGACGATGTGTGTCCATGGGCACGTATACATTTTTGGTTTTGTACGGCGGTATGGCCAGACCAGCTGATGGCATTCCACTTTGCGTTTCTTTCTTCAACACACCGTGTCGCCAGAAATACAAGCTTGTTGCGTCGGCAGCCTCAAAGCGTGCGGTAGCTGTTGATGCGTGAGCGCCAGTCTGTCACCGACGCTGAGAACTAAATGCAACCTCCAGCACGACTTGGCGGGTGTTCTATTTGGCCCGAATACTTGCACTCTGGTAATTTGTTGTACTACATTGTACCACCAATCAGGTACACGATTTTGCCAAATCAAGGTGCTGCTCACGCTTCACATATTGATTTGGCAAGTTTCAGACTGGCTCACCCGAGGCAGCGCAATAGTCGCACGCATGTCGCCAATTTCTAGTCGTATCTGCGGAAGGATGGAAACAAAATCAGACCCCATCGTGCGAATGCCAGCCAAGCATCAAATCAATCAATCAAATGTTATGGTTTACATGTTTGGGGCCAGTTTGTGCATGTTGCGCCCTATCAATGTTTCATCATCTCAACTATTCATCACTGGTAGAAATACTATTGACTTGGTGAAGAAACTGCTGGCCCCGCAAAAAAAAACAGCGTCTGATGTGGCAGGCAGACGCTGGGCCACGGAGCTTGAGTCACATGCAATGTTTCATCACATCCGCTGTCTACCTTGCGCTCGGCAATGCGCATTGCTTGCGTAATGCAACAATGTGGTGTCAACTGCCAACCAGGTAACCACCAGGCAAGCATTTTGAAACAACAAACCACACTGACACTTTGCATCTGCGCAATGATTTGTTTGTCCGGAGGACTGAACACTGCACCCAGTGGTGGTTGGTTTAAGCTAAATATGTTGCCGTGATTTACTCATCTTAGGCCTTGGGATTTTTGCCTCAGCTATCTAGTGTCGCTGTCAGTTCAACTTCAGCTAGTGATGGCTGGCGTGACTCATACCTGCAGAATCATGTGATTTGAACGATGCTGCCGTGCTGTACAAGGGCCAGTCAAACTTTTGAACAACGCATCTCGCAAGCTACTACTTGTGTCATCAATTGGCAGGTGGTTTCCACCCAATTATATACAGCTGTTTGTTGCGCACTGGCTCACACGGGGCAACATCTAGCGCATGAGCTACTGCAAGCGGAAAGGCGGCAAGCTTCAAAAACCAAACACTCATGGCACATCTCAGGATCGTCGAATTACCGGTGCACTAATTCACTGATTCGCAGATCCGATTCGCACGCAGTCGGGTAGTGTTCGTGGGTTGCCTGAGTCCGAATCCGCGTCCGCAATCTACAACTAGGGGAAAACCTTTGCCGCGCCCTACGGCCCTATATTGTTAGTCATCGTGATTCATGCGACTCATGATGTTGAGCAACCCAATGGGACTGGCCGACCGGAACCACCATGCGGTGGCCCGTTCCAACGTAATGCTGGGCTACCTGCGACACCCCAAAGGAAACAAGATTGCTGGCGCACCAAGCGCTCGAGTTTGTTTGATGTGAGGCATGAGTCACGAGTCATGTCACGAGTGACACTGACACTGGTCATGGACCAACCGGTGCGACGCAGGTCAAGTAGCTACACATTACATCACATGACTTTGCTTGCGGCGATCTCGCAAAGTTAGTTGGTTTAAAGTTTCCAGTTAAAGTTGAAATGAAGGTGGCACCAGTCAACTATTGCGTTCCCACATGTTCACAGGTGCTTCTCTCAGCCTCTCAGATCTCGCACGCGTACACCCGGTGCACCATAGGAGTCGCCGCGGTGCTTATGGCAAGCCACCAAAGGAAAGGGCCCCCCGAACACCAGGGCTTGTTGCAGAAGGGCGTGCGGTAAATGAGTGGCGGTGACTGACATTGAGACTGACATCATCCTCAGGAATCGGCGGGTTTGTGCCCTGAACAATCGTGGCCAACAACATAGACACACGCTGCTTAAGCTGCTTAACTGACTGCGGCCTGAACGCACAGTGCGCAAGCTTCCTATTTGACCATATTTGGCCAGCGCAGAGACTTGCGGGCGCGTGTCAAACTCATATCAATCCGATCCTGATCTGATGTCCAAAGACAAGCTGGGCCAAAACTGCTATTGGCGCTGAGGGTGAGTCAGGCTCAGGATTGATCCTTCACGCGCGACGATTCCTGATTCATGTCTTTTCTTCCTGACTCATGGCTGATATAGAAATAACCTGCTACGGCCATAAATTGCCAAAATGCAAATATGGACATCACGTCAACTCTGATGAGATGATGACACTCATGGGTGGAGCAGCCCCAACTTGTGACTTGCTTGACTCATTGTTTAACGACTTGCGCTTGCAACTGGTAATGCTGGCTGGAACCTGCAACTTGAAACACATGTCACTCCATCTTTGGATGAGTTTTGCTAGGAGCAACCTTGAACTTGCAACACCTTAAGTGTGGAACCTGGGCTATTTTTCTTCGAACACCAGTGGTCGACTTCTTCTGTCTTTGAGCTCGAGCGATGCCCTCATCTTGCGTCGGTCTTGTTACTGCTTGCGTATAGCGCCGGCTCCGACCAACTCTTCAAAACCAAGCAAACGCCCTGAACCAGCTTGAGACTTTTGGATTCGCGCGCGCCGCCGCTCACTGCTCGCGCGTCGCTGGCTCGTTGCACGCTCGCCGCGCGCATTCCGCGCGTGCCGCCGCGCACCGCTCGCGCGCTGCTCGCTCATTGCGCGCTTGTGGCGCGCTCGCCGCGCGCACGCCGCGCGCACGCCGCGCGTACACTGCGCATAGCGCGCGCGCGTGACCGCGCGCCCTCGCCGCTACTGTTTTTTAAGGCCTGTCATAGCATGACTCTCGGGTTTAGATAAGTTTTGACAATTGTTTTCATCGGTGGCGCCCGTGAATCAGCGGCCCTTCTGCGCTGTCAGCTGGTCGACAAAGGACCGGGGCAGGGGACAACGTGGACCAGGGAATGCTTGAAAGCATTCTCTGTGTCAGCTAGCCTGGCATAGCTTGCGACTTGCGATTTTCCTTCTTTCCGTGAGGCGGCGCGACTCTGGACGACTTCGCGTTCTTGCAGAAGCTGCCATTCTTGCCCTGCTCAAAAACTGGGGGCGTGGCGAAGTGGGCAGTGACCTGAGGGACCTTACGCGATTCAGGTTTGGCTTGCAAGCACTTTACGTTTACTTGGCGGCCTTGGTTAGGTCTACGCAGTCGGCTACGGCACCGGGGCAGTTTATGTTGCAGTTATTCCTGCCGCGCTTCTGTTTCTGTACATGCGCCAGCACATTGTGCTGAAGCTTGCCTCATTCTATGTTTTTTCTCTGCCTGCAACGTTATTTGAGTTTGCGCTTTTGTTCTGAGAGACGGTCAAAGCAGGTGCCTGCCCGACAGGCCCCCAGGAGAATGCCCAAGGGGTGGAGCTTTGGCAAGTGCTGGACCCAACATGGGACCCCCTGACATGTTTCTCCTGGTTCTGTGACATGCTTGCTCTTGCCTGCGTGCTGTGCTCTCTTCGCAAGAGAGCGCAACCACTCACAGAGATGGGAGATAAATCAGTGAAGGTTCAGTACGAAGCCCAAACACGGCATCAGACAACCCGAATTATGCTTCAATTTTCCAATCGGAGACATGTGTCCACAAAATATGCAAGTTCAAGCGGTGTGTTTGTGTGTTCGTGTGTGTGCCGAGTTTCTGACGAACCCATGCCAATGTTTGCACGGGGATTGGAGGAGGTTGATGCGCCGTGGTTTGCTTTGCACTGTCAAAGGGAAGCCGCACAGACTCGGCTGAGTCATTGTCCACTACTCGAAGCTAGTTGCCTTCCTCCCTCGGGAGTGTGTTTGTGTTTTGTGTGTGTGCGTTCCTGTTCTTACCGCCTCTCAAGGGTCCTTAGATGACCACGCAAATGGAGGGCGCATTGAAAGAGATTTTTCATTTGGGCAACGCCTGCTTCTGTCTGAGGAGGCCCAGCAAGACCATCACGGCCCAGGCAAAGAGGGCAAAGAGTAGTTGGATCACGAAGCTACGCTCGGTGAAAGCTTCGGAACCTATGCAGGCCAGGATGAGTCGTGCGTGGCGCATGAATGAACGGGATGGGTCTCATTGGAATGTCATGTAACATCCAGAGCAAAAGGTGATGCGGGGTTCCTTCCATCTCCAGTTTGCAAGGGAAGCTCAGACGTCTCGGCATGGTTGCAGGGTGGAGTCGCACCAAGTATGCTAAGCGATGTTGGACACGGCCAGTTACGGCAAGCGTCAAGGCACGGAGGGAGGCTGGCTTCAGTGACAGGTCAATGATGAGCACCTCCTCGCTGCTGCAGTGGCCCACATGGTAGTCACATTCCAGGGCAAGGCGAGGTGGCCCAGACCCAGCAACCCTTTCCTCCGCAGGTAGGATCTGGTGGCTTGCAGCGCTGAGCAACGTTGCTTATTCTACACTCTTAGACCCTTGATCTATTTGTGCAACATCTCATGAGTTCCCCAGCGTTTGCTGCAATTGAGCTTCGACCCGAGGAATCCCGCGCCGGCCTCCCACCCCACAAATTCCGCAATCCCTTTCCAGGCCTACAGCCTACTACCAGGAAGGTTTGCTTCAGTATACTTGAAGCAGGGTGAAGGTGTCCCAGCATCCGGTGTGTTTGGTTGCGCCCTTCATACTTGTCAAATGTTACAAACATAGGAAGGTTGGCGGGATTGTGCGAAATCAAAGAGTTTAGTTTTGGTTTACACGACGGGTTCTGGGGGGAAGACGACTGGTGGGAGGCTACTGTCTTCCACAAATGGACACACGCACACACAAGCCACACGTAGGTCTGGCTGCAGCTGCAAGGCGGCAAGGCGTGTCTTGGCTGACAAAATATCATGCCATGCGCATGGCCTAGCGGCACATGTTTGTCCTCTTCAGCACAAACTCCCAGAGAGTTGCGCTTGCCGAGCCGAGGGAGATGAAGTCATCAGAGCGTGAAGGACGAGCACCAGCTGAGCTGACCGCGAACCGGCCGTAAACATAATGAGCAGATTGGAAGCCCAGCACAGAAGTTGAGTCCAAGCTCGGGTACGGCCAGACATTGAGCCGCTTCCCGATGCTTGCTTGACTGCCAGTAAAGAGTTGGCTTGTAATTTGGGAATGCCATGAATGGGCATTTGCTTGCTGGTTTCGGCTCAGCTTGGTGGCAGATGGTGGCAGTTTTCTGCTCGCAGGTCGAGGCGCATGTGAATGGGAAACGGAGCTGCTTGCGCACTCAGGTGAGCAGCTTCTTGGAAGATAGGGATGAAGTAGAGGAGATGCTCCGCTCCCGCGCCATCATGGAGATGCTGGTGGAGCGCTGTGAGATGGAGAAGGCCTCCGAAAAAAACCGAGCCTTGGCAGCACAAATCCGCCATATCGGCCAGCAATGTGAGGAGTTCTGAAACATGGGCGTTGGCTGACGAATTCAAAGCCGCACCACGCTGTCCGGCAAGCGAGATGGAGGAAGACTTGCCATCTGACACAAGTTCAAGTGGCAGGAGCTCATGCCGTGCAAGGACCTTCGGCATTGACCAGTGCCTCCCGCACATTGTCTTGCGGGCACACATACACAAAATTGTGCCAGGCTTTCTGGAATTGACATGCAAGAGGCATGACGAGGTGCTATGAAAGCTGAGGCTTACTCTCTGGTGCCAAGGAGGTATTCTTCAAATATGCTGCGTGGCGGCAGGTGGACGGTCTTTGCGGAGGGCTGTCCAGGGCCACAAGAGCGAGCAACCCGGGGGCAACGAACAGGGCATCCCCGTGCAAAAGTGCAACACGGAGCAAGCCGACTTTGCCCATGTCAAGGTTTGCCCGGCTTTCATGTTTCTTTCAAGGCCTTCTGCCGCTTCGTGTGGATGGAGATGGCGCAGAAGCTCTTGGCCGTTGGACTGGTCACCGCCGCATGGCGGAGTGTGTCAAAACAAAGCAAAATCTAGCGAAACAAAGGGAGTCGGAAGACAGGACGACAGCACGACGTAGGGGCGGGAGCAGTGTTGACGGCTCATGCTGTGCCATTGCGACTTGCAATGCGTTGGCCTCAGTGCCCCTTGAAGAGTGATGCAACGATGGCTACAGCGCTGGGGCATGGTGAATCAATCCTGTAGTACCAAGGGATGTTTGCACGTGCCCTGACAATCGCCCGAGTGCCAACCAGGTAATCGGCACGGACGATGGCCTTCACCTCTCCCTGGCATGTGTCCTTGGCATGGCGGCGACAATTGCCATGGTGCAGCCTTACATCCAGCCACAGGCGCGAGTCGCCAGTTGCATGATGCGAACGCTTGGGCGGCCAAGTTTGTACCCCCGCCGTGCCAGATGAACGAGCTCCACATCTTTTCCTTGCTGTGCTCCTCCGCTGGACGTGATCACTGTCAATTCCTGGAGGGCGCATCAAAGCGCAGGGGAGCACTCAAATGGATAAAACACAACCTTATCCCAGTCTAGCAAGTCACACAGCTGTTGCCACGGTTCTCTTCAACTGATTCTTGGACATCGCTCCGGCCTGAGGCCTCGCAGCAGCAGCCCTAGGATTTGCTGGAGCTGCCGACCCCGAAGCCCATTGGCTTTGGCTGAGCCGGGTGTCTGTGCTGCTTCCTTTCCTGCTGGCCGCCGTGCAGGCGAACCAATGGTCGGAGCTGTGGAAAACAGGTCCAAAGTGGACCTTTGACCAGTGGATCTTCGGATAAATGGGAAGCTCCTGAGCCCTGGTCCTTTGATTTGAGCCACATCTTTGCAAAGACATTACGAAAAGAGTCCGCTTGTTGGCAGGCGCTGCGCCCGGACAGTTGCGAGGCTCTGGCCGTGCGCCTCTTTCAGGAGAGCCGGAGAGCCCAAAAGGCCAGGTGAGGCGCTAGGGTTGTGAGGCGCAACTTGCTCACAGATTCTTGGGGGACTTAGCCGAAACCCCTCCCCAGCCCTAAGCATGTTTTTTCAAAAGCATTTGAGAGTAGCAGCCAGATACAACATAGTTACCTGCGTCCGCAGTCTCCGGGCTATTTCTCTGTTTTTTTTTGTTCTCCGGGTTTTATTTTCAGGAGACTCTTTATGAATCGAACAGCAGGAATGGCTTCCAAAAGGCAGGAGTGGAATCAACAAATAATTGGTTGTCCGGCCCCGCAACTCTAAATCACTCGAGTGGGCATTCCACTGCTTTTGCTGAAAATGCACTCTCCGGAAACTCTGTCTTTTTGGATTTGCGGGGTTTGCGGGAGTTTGCGGATGTTTTGCGCTGAGTTTCAGGTGTGGTGTTTTCCAGCTGGTTTCAGGAATTTCCAGAAGTGTCAATCAATGTCTAGGAGTTTTACCCACTGAGACCCTTAAACAAGTGGTAGTCTCCGGATTTTACGTGATTTTTTATGATTTGGATTATCCAGGCAAGAGGGTTTAGGCTATTTTCTACAAATCGAAGCTTTCACATGCCACGGCCCCAATAGTTGGCCACGTGCCCTTTGAAGCTAATACGGCGGAGCTTCGGTCCGCCTAATTCGATGAGACTCTCCAACTCATACGCCACACAAGTTGATACGTTCTGGTTTGGCGACGACTCTCCAAGAGGGTTTCGGTCATGGGACGGCCTTGAACTCGCTGTCTCTAGGCATTGTGTTGGCAATGCCCGCCGGCGTGACGCCATGCGTTTGCAGCTTGAGCTGGGCCGTTTGGATCACTCGGCTCCACGAATTGCACCTTGAAAAACAAGAAAGAAGAAGAATTCACGCCAAAACATCGCTCCCAGGAGGCCCGGCGCCAGCTGAAGGCGCTGCAGGAGGGGCAGGAGGTGGAGCTGGTGGTCAAGACTGTCAGCTTCATCTGAGTGCGGCTGGTGCTCTGGTGCTCTGGTGGGCGCCGGTTGAGATCCCAGGAGCTTCCCGCGCAAAGCGGCAGTTGAAGATGACCGAATAGCCAATGAAAACCTGACGCTAGGACGGCAACGCCGATGAAAGCCCCCAGCAGCTCCAAGTTGAACATGCGACGACCAATCAAAATGAGTCTGTAGCCTCATGATGGGGGCAACTCTTGGGATCTTATCATGTCGCTAGACCTAGCGTGTGAATTTGAAGAGTTGTGCCGGCGATCTGTTCGATCAGCTGGGCCAGCTTTGGAGACATCTCGAGGTCTAGTTGGCACTCCTGGCTTTGGTCAGCATGGCCCAGTGATTGATCCAATCATTGAGTTCACGCCCGAAGGGACAATAAGATTCTTAAAATTAATGGTTTTATATATATAAATCATTATTATTTATAAATCTAATCTTTTATTTTTTTTTATTTTACTAAAATGAATATATTTATATATATTTAATATACCAAAATAATTTGTAAACAAATTTATTTTTGGATATAAATGTATAATTGATATTTATATTGAATATATTTGGATAAATATAGTTGATTTATATTTTAAATTATATTTTTATATTAATATATTGTTAATACTGGTATTTCGGCCGAATTATGATATATACGATGAATGATTATATTTGGTTTGTTTTTTGATTTTCTATGGTATAAGTTTTTGCTTTTTTGTGTGGTTTGGAAGGTTTTAGAATTTTTGGTTGTTTTTGACGATGTGGTTTTTAAATTTCCGAATGTTATTTTTATAATTTTCTTTATTTTATTATGAATTGATTCGGTTTTGATGTGTATTGGTTTGTTAGTAACTAGCGCACCTAAGCTTGCGGCACCGGTAGCACTTCCTAAGAGCTCGCTTAGCTTAGAGCTAGTCGTTACACAGAGTTCGTTTAGCTGAGCACTTGCTGATGGCATCCAACAACCCCCGGAGGGCGGCGAATTCGCCAAACAAGCCTCTGCTTGAGGCTTCGCTTTACATAGGGCCAGGTGAGCCCTCGCATGTAAGTAGCGCTTTTGATCGAATTGTAGTGCTTGTTATAAGTGATGTTTTTATATTTTTCTTTTTTTTTGCGATATAAATTGTTGGTTCGGATGTCGAAATTTCCGGGGGGAGGGAGGTATTTGATAATTTTGCTTAGACCTAGTTAAATTTCGTTTTCGGATACTATTTTAGCAAATCTGCGTTCCGGAAGGCCCCGAAATTTTGCCGAAATTTCGTATATTTTCGGGAAATATTTCTTTTCTTTCTTTTTTTTCTCTCTTTTTTTGGATGTTTTTTCTCTTGTTTTCTTTGTTTTTCTGTTTCTTTATTTCTTTGTTTTTCTTTTTGTTTTTTTTTGTTGTTTTGTCTTTATATATTTATCTTTATTTTTTTCTCTTGATATTTCTTTGTTTCTTCTTGCTTCTGTGTGTTTTGTTGTGTTGTTGTCTTTTTCTGTGTTTTTTGTTTTGGTATTTTTTTTTGTATGTCTGTTTATTTTTGCTTTTTTGTTTCTTTGTCTCTTTGTCTCTTTGTTTGAGACATGATCCGGAGAAGCTCTTGGAGAATATGATTTGGTATTCCCGAATCCCGGAATCTAAGATTGGACTTGGGATTCGCGAATCCCGAATCCCGAGCCCCGATTCGGGGTCTGGGGCTTCGCGAATCCCAAATCCTAATCCTATTTTCGGGATTTGGATTCGCGAATTACGAATCCGGAATTCGGATTCTGGGCTTTGGGATTTGTGAATCCCGAATCCCGAATCCCGAATCTTAAGCTGGGATTTTGGGATTCGTGAGATGCTGGTAACCTAGCACGCCGGCAGCAACTAGTAACGGCTTTGAGCAAACGCTGGCAATTCAGTCGTTGGCAGCCAGCAGATGCTGACAATAGCGTGCCAGCGAATATTGGTAGCTAGCTAATTCTTATAAGCCAGACACGGCTTTATTGGCATACATGCTAATAACCTAGCACGCCGGCAGAGACCCGAATCCCGAATTCCGAGTCATTTGGGCTTCCCCAAATCCCGAAATTGGGATTGGATTTGGGATTCGTGAATCCAAAGCATCGCTCCTAGCCCGGGCTGTAGGAGGGACAACAGGTGGAGCTGGTGGTTGAGACCGTCTACTTCATCTGAGTGCGGCTGGTGCTCTGCTCTGGTGCGCGCCGGCTGGGAGCTTCCCGCAAAATCGGCAGTTGAAGATGACCAAATAACTAATGAAAACCTGACGATAGGACGGTAACGCCGATGAAAGCCCCTAGCAGCTCCAAGCTGAACACACGACTACCAATCAAAATGAATCTGTAGCCTCACGATGGGGCAATTCTTGGAATTTTATTATGTTAAGTGTGTGAATTTGAAGAGTCGTGCACGTGATTTTTAAGAGTTGTGGCGGCGATCTATTTGATTAGTTGGCCACCCTTGGAAATATCTCGAGGTTTAGTTAGCACTCTTGGCTTTGATTAGTATGGCCTAATGAATAATCTAATCCAATCTATGAATTTATATTCGAAAGGATATTATTATGCTACACGTAACGCATATACAAATTATTTTATTGTTGGATTATATATAATATTTATATATTTACAATAAAGATATATATATATATTTTCGTAAATTTATTATTGGATTGGATTTAGAAATAATAAATGTTGGGCCCTTGTTGTTATATGTTCCGTAAGATATGAATTCGTGTTGAAAGCGGTGTTTTAAGGGGATAGTCGTTATGTTTAGATATTGTTGATAATATATTTCTTACCTTAGTCCTTATTACGCACAAAATTAAGGATTTGGTATATTATGGGAGATTGGAAAGGGCATTATTGAATAATGAGGTACGTTATTGTTTTTGTTTCTGGCGCACTGTTTTTGGCTAAGATATTGAGAAGATTAAGCCGGCTAACGCATGGGAGTTTGAGTTTTTGTGTTGTTTAGTTATGTCTTACTAAGATTTGAATTGGTTGAAATTATAGGTTTTGAAGTTGTTCGTCGGGAAGCATAGGGTGTATTGTTTTTATTAATATATGGGAGTTAGGTTCGTTGTATTGTGTTTTTTTTTTAATGTTAATGAAAGATGGTCTTCGAATAGGCCGTGTTAAGCACGGCCAATCTATGGATCGCGTTCGTATTTTGGATTGATCTCGTTAATATTTCGTTTAGATCTCATTAAATTGGTTGGTTAAAGTACCTTTTTCGTAAGGTTTAGTAGTAGGTGTAGCGTTTTCGTAAGGTTAGGCGCGATTTTCGTGATAAGCGTAATGCTTCCAGAAGGCTAGGCGCAGGTCTTGTAGTAGGCGCGGAACTTTTAGAAGCAGATTTCGTGATAGGGGCATAATAAAGAAATAGAAAAACACTATGCAAGTGAAAGAAAAAAAAGAGTAAGGGAAAGAGGAAGAAGCAAGAACGAAGCACGATAAAGCACTTGTTAAGCGTATTGGTTGTTAGTTATTTATTGGAAGATTGTTGTTTATAATATATAGGGGTGGCTATGAATAAAGAACTTAATAATGTTATAGCGCATGTTGGTGAAGTGGGGCGTGCTGTTTTTAAGCTCGAATATGAGAGTATATAGGCACAAACTAACCCGGGGATCGTTGGAGATATATTTGGGTGACGTTGGTTGAAGTGTATGTGAAACGCGGTGTGCCATGGGGGAAAAGTTTGTTGAGCGCATTGGTTGTTAGCGGAAGGTTGTTGTTTATAGTGTATAGGTGTGGTTATGAACAAAGAATTTAGTAACATTGTAACGTAGGTTTGTGAATTGTGGTGTATTAAGCGTTTGTGGACACGGTTTATACAATTTTTAAGTTTGCAACTCGGCTAGACAGGTGGAAACTCATGTGAGAGTACATAGGCGCAAATTAATTCCGGGCCCGCTGCTGGGCGACGTTGGTTGCAAAGCGCGTGCGATGTTCTATGGGGGAAGTGTTTGTTGAGCGCGTTGGTTGTCAGCTGCTTGTCGGAAAATTACTGCTTATTATGCATAGGGGTGATTATAAACAAAGAACAAAGCAACGTTATAATGCATGTTGGTGAAGTGTGGCGCGTTAAGCATTTGTGGATACGATTCGAGCGTTTTTTAAAGCTCGTAGCCTGGCTCAGACCTACGCAATGTTAGTTAAAGCGCGTTCTACACGATGCAAGTGTTTTTTAAGCTTGAGCTTGATTTAGATCAGTAGAGGCTAATATGAAAATACATTGATGCGAACGCGCCGGATAAGGCAATTATAACATAAATGCGTATTTTTCATGCGGTGTGCTAATAGGATTTACTTATGGGACGAGATATATTTAAAAATTGGCAATATATATAATCATTTATATGAAATTATAATATATGATTATCATTATATATATTTGCATTTTCTTTTAAATAATCAAATAAATAAATAAATATATATATAATTTCTATGGTTATAATATTATTTTATAAATCGTATGATTTTAGAATATAATATATATATATATATTATAGAGTTAGTGGTACTCCGGCCGAATTATTGTGTTTTGGTAAATAATTATACTTGGTTTTTTCTCACGGCGTAAGCTCTTGCTTCTTAATATAGTTTGGAAATCCTCGAAATGTTACTAAAATTTGGGGCATTTTAGATTTTTATTAAATAATTTAGCTAATGTTCTTTATCTGTTCTTTTGTTTCTTTGTTTTTGATATTTGTTCTGTTTTTTTTCTTGTTGTTTCTTTGTTTCTTTGTTTTTGTGTATTTTTAGTTTTTTGTGCTTTTGGCTTGGCACCCGCTCGGGATCCCGAATTTCGACCCCGAATCCCGGAATCCAAAATTGGATTTAGGATTCGTAAACCTCGAATAAATTGGATTTGGGATGTATAAATCCAACAGCTCGAATCCCAAAATCCAAATTTCGGTTTGGGATTCATAAATTAGAATGCCGAATAATAAAATTGAGATTGGGTTTTGGAATTTACGAATGTTTGCGAGGAATTTGCGAAGCCCGAATTTCGCGATGCGATTCCCGGATTTTTAGTCTTTTTGTATTTTTATATGTTGTTAATTGTTTATTATATTTTGTTGTTTGTGTATGTTTTGTTATTTATTTGTATTTCTTATTTTATTTAGGTTATTCGATTGTTTCTATTATTTTGTTTTGTTTATTTCGATTTGCCGATTTGCTTATTTGTTTTTATTTACGACCACACTTGCGACCCCAAAGCTTTTGGGGATTGGGACGGGGAGGGGGGGGGGGTTGGTTTTGTTGTTGCCCGAAGGTAAACAGGCACCCACTTTAGGTCTGCCATACGCTTTTGCCGGGATTGGGGGGAGGAGGGTGATTTTATTGTTATCCGAAGGCCTCAGGTCTGCCATACGCTTTTTTTCCGGGGATGGCTTGAACGTTCTCTGTACCAAATTCATGCATAACTCATTTTTTTACAAATTACCTTGTTATATTATTGTTTCGTTTGCATGGTGCTCAATATCCTTTTATCCAACCACTCTAACAGGTTAATCCGTTCACATTGGATCAATATATAGGCATCCTGCCGTCCCACAAATCAGATGATCCATGGCTAGATTTTATTGCGAGCATCATTCTCCTTAAGTGCCGGAATTGGTTCTGCTAGGGTCTTTTCTTTCGCACGTGCATGGACTCATGGTGATATAACAATCTCATATATGGTCCTTAGTGTCATTGCCGCCCGCCGTGAGGTCCGCCTCCTCTATCTCAATCTCAAAACATGTAGCGCAGTCCGTAGCCTCGATAAGTTAGATTCTCGTAATGTGAAAGACTACTAATTGGGTAGTAAATTATAAGCCCTAAGAAACATTGCCAAGACGATATAAGGTCTAGGCGCAAAACACGAAAACAAACGGTACAAATGCGGAGCACGAAAATACCAAGCAACCGCTACGAATCCAATCTATATACCTCCAAAAAACACCTTATAACAATTAGTCAGTGCCAACCAAAACTACTAAGCGCCCTCCAAATTCATAAAAAATCTATATAACATCATGTAATTTGCAAATCATTCCAACATTCTCGATAAGAAATCCAATGTGTTTTGCACCCCGTAATTTTCATACACAAATAAAAATAATAGGGTCGAACCAAATATATTTAATTATCTTTAAAAACACAAAAACACATGCAAAATACACAAAAACAATCACACAAAATCAAAAAAAAGACTTACAAAAAAACACATATAAATGTATAAAAATACTATTAAATAAACTTAAAATCCTCCATCTCCCTTTTGTTTATTTCAAATATCTCGATACCTTTTAATTCAAATATTTATAAAATCACCCACCTTCATTAATAAAACAAATACAAACCAAACCATATACTATATAAAAATATAAATCCTCAAAAATCAAATATTTAAATCCTCCAATAATAATCTTACTCATCCCTTTTTTCCCCAACAACTAAAAGCTAAAGGAATAATTCGGAATGTTTCTAAAATAAGATTCCATAATAATTTCATCAAGATCATCATCACAAATCCATCAAAATTTCATGAAATTCTACAAAACTACATATTATACCTAATCAAATACATCCTTGTCTTATTAATACTCTTATTCTAACCTCTCCATTAAGATGTTCAATTAATATTTGTGTAATTCTTCAACTCCATAAATATATATTTTATTCAATAATATCATAAATTCAATAATTAATAATTTTTTAAAACTATTTATTATATATATATATATCAATATGAATATTCATTCAACCATTTATTAAATAAAAATCTTTTCCCACCCATAAATCTTCTCCCAATTTAAATCAAGATACATAATCAAACACCTCTCTTAAAAAACAATATGTTTCTTTAAATTAAATGCATCAAAACACATATTATTTTAATGTATAATTATCTAATTATTTCGAGCCAAACACATACATTCTAGCACACGACGTCCGTGTAACACGCTTGTTTCGATGCCCAAGGCTGGGAAATAATCAAATTCCGTTTCAGCTCAGTGAGGTCTCATCCCCAATTTGATATAGGGTGGCGTAACCCAAGCACACGCGACCGCCGCCCTTCAATTTCACCCAATCCCAGCCCTTTGCCCTCAGACTATGGCTTGCGTAGCAATGTGTCCAACCCTAACCTCAGTCGCACTCAGACGACAGGGCCCTCCTCTCAGCAAGTGTCATGAAGCGAGCAGTTCTTGGGGCATCGCTCCCTAAATTAGAGTTGGCAATGCTAGAGTAAGTGGTTTCGCTGTTGAGGGGGGGGACGTATAGTAATTCGATCCATTTTACGATGGTAAGGCCTACAAAATCCGTTCAGGACGACCCAGCGGAAGGTGTAAGGCAGTAGCCATACCAGAACCCTTTCACCCCTATAAAGGATCCATGGGCTCTAGCGCAAACATCGCAAAACTATGTATGCTCCTGGCTATTTGCAAAAACTGGTCAGATCCACGGAATCTATCTGGCACATCTTCGCGTGCCCAATTGCTAGCAAGGCTGGCATTGAGGTATACCTTATAAGCCTGGCAAACCCTGATAGCTTCTTGCAGCACGCCAGCTCTTAGCGATACCAGTCGCATTTTGCTCGCAAAATCGAAGGTGACGTCCCACGGTGGTTGTCATGCTGGCTCGGTGATTTTACCCTTCCTGAAGTGAACAGCGACAAACACTTCACTTCCACCATTTGCAGACCTAGATTTCCCATAGTGGGCCCAGAAGTGACAGGGCAATCTCACTGCAACGCTTTTCGCGGCTAAGACTGACGCCTCATGCGCGCATCAGCTTTGACGTGCACAGCGTCGCCAAGACCGCAGCCGCGAGGGGCGGGCCCCACACCTTCCATGCGGCGCTGGGCTCCGGGCGCAGCGCAACGCCAGGCGTGCCACTCACTTCCAGCACGTTCCTCAGGACGAATGGAGGAGACTTAGGCCATGTCTTGCGACCATCTCCCTGCCACTTGTTTGCAAGGAGGTGCCTGCAAAAATCTATGCAGCGCAGGCGGAACAGCACCATTTGCCCTCTTTGGATTGGAAAACACTGGGGAGGATCGTGACAGGTTTGGGTGAGGGGGAAATCAAGCTGCCCTTGGCACGGCTGAACGAGGACATGCTACGACAACGCATCCAGAACTTAAAGCTGCCTTTGGACGGTGATGGCTTTGGAACTCGAGTCGCCCTCACATTACCACAAACTGAACGACCTCAACAAGAGGGCATCGGAAGCTGAAGTTCAGTCAGTTGAGCCGAGGCTCTGCGGATGATGCGGCCGCTTGGGAAGAGCGCATCCGTTGCAGTCAAATTCCTTGTCGAAAGAGCCAAGCTTCTCCAGGTCTTCCAAGTCCAGCTTGCCGTCCCAGCCCCGCCACCACGGCCCATCTTTCTTTCCGAAAGTTCTTTGCCAGTACTTTCCTGCAAGCAGAACCAAATCCCTTTGGTCGACGCCCGCCTAACTACTCAACAGGAGAAACACTGCACGCTTTGACTAGTAGAGCAGAGGCTCGATATGCAAGAGGCAAGCAATCGACTTGGATCGTGCTGTTCCACGGCAAGGCGTGCTCTCGAAGGCGCAGCTGCTGTCCGAGCAGGAGCTGGTAGTCCTGGAAGACAATCTTCTGGCTCATCCGGTCGAAAGCTCGCTTGAGGGGCGGAACCTTTTCGACCCACGTGGCGAAGTTACGGTAGGCACGGTAGACCATCCGCATCTGCCCCGGCGCAGTGGGGGTGCATGCCACGTACTGGTACATGTCCCAACTTCCAGGCTTGGGAGGGGTGTGCAAGACAATGTTGCAGGGAGCTTCGAAGGCGTTGTAGTACTCAGGCTTGATGCGGCCCCGAAAACCGTTGGCAGTCTTTTCGATGGTCATGTTCATCTTCTCAATCTTCTTGCGGCTGCCAATGGTGCCCTCATGAGCAAAGGGAATGTGGGCGGGGTCAAGCAGATTCTCAACCATGAGGGAATGGTCAATCGGCAGGTCCAGGCACATGGTCGACAGTACGAAGCCACTGCTTGGATCTGCCAATGCCGTGCCCTCATCTGTCATGTCCCTGGGCGGGGATGCAGTGTCTTCTGCTGCCTCCGGAGGCCCGGGCCAAACATACACAACTCCATCCTGCTCCAAGACCGGATAAGTCTGCACCTTGGCATTCGAGGGGATTGGCTTCCCCTCTTGAAGCGCTGGGATTTCCACCACATGCCCAGATGTGCCCTCAATTTGCCAGCCATGGTAGATGCACTCAACATGGCCGCTGTCGCCGTTGACAGTGCCCAATGAAAGCGGCGCGGAGCGGTGTGGGCACTTGTCTGCCACACAGTGTGCCTTGCCCTGCAGGTCGCGCCACAGCACGAGAGGATCTCCGAGCAAGGATGTAGACATGGGAGTTGGCGCTGCCTGGCCGACTCGCTTTGGCTTGGCAGCTGGAATGTCAGCGCTGAAGGCCAGCGCGTACCATTGCTTTCTCACATCCGTAGGAAGATGCGCATAAACCACACCTCCACCGCCCACCTCCGCAGATGTGCCTTGTGCAGGCAGCAACGGCTCGCTCGCCATTGCAGGCAACGCCGCGCAACCTTTCACTGCCACGCGGTGCTGCACAGAATGCCCACAACTTTGGTTGTCTAATGCCTGCCTGACCCTGTCTGCCCCACAATGCATGCGGAACGTCATGCAACATGAGCAAAGAGCAATACACGTTGCGCTGAAATAGTGGATTCGGCACTATGCGGGCTTGAGGCGCCGTGACGACCGCAGCAATTTCCAGCCAACAGCAGTGCCCGTCTGGATTCTCATGACAGTGACGTGCCCAATCATGCCAACATGCCATGTCCTGCACAGCGCCAGGGCTTGCCATTTTTTGTTGCATGTTTTGAAAGGCGTTCCCGGGCACAAAGCCTTTCAAATATAAATGGTACGGCCTCACCACTTCCCGCCCTTCTCCTTACAAAGTCCCTGGTCGCTCTGTACAAGAGGGCCTTGCCACAAGAGGTGCCATCAAAGACTCCGTCTATCAAAGCATCGTGTCATAAGCGACATCGAGGGCGTGCATTCGTTGGCATGTCCAATGCCAATTTCCGTTATGGAACTTGGCAACTCAATCGCGCGGTCACGGGATGAGCAAGTTGCCCATGCCAATGCTCCGCAGAGCTACCACCACCTCAGACTCCTGGCGCGCGCTCGCGCGCGCCAAACCATCCACGACTTGAGCCGGTTTTCCTGGCCTCCTGTGAGAGAGGCTGCGCGCCCGATCTCACGGTCTTGGCTTCCTCTGCGCTCAGCTTGTAATCTCTGTCCTTCGGGTTCCAGTGAGATGAGAGCGGAAACGCCGCAGCATCTCGCTTTCCAGTGGTGCCCTGTCAAAAGTTTCCATTGCTTTTACGTCACCCACTAGGGGGATGTGTGGGTCTGCCATGTCGCCTGAAACCCTCCAACTGCCGCTCCTCATCCAGCGCTCGCATCTTCTGGGACAAAGCTTGAGCTTTTGCAAAGTCCTCCTATCGTGGTGCAACGAAGTCAAAGCCACGAGCCAAGGCCATGGCAAAACGCCTGGCCTTGGGAACCAGTGCAAAGTAGCTTGCCAGGTTGATCCCCGTTGCTGACACCTGCTTCTGGAACTCCGCCTTCTCCTGCGCAAAGCTTGGATCTTCCTGGAATTTCACGTGGATGATCTTTTTTTGGGGTACCTGTTATTTCGGGCCATGCTACAATGTTAAACTCAAAAAACAAGGAAACCACCCCCCTAATATGAGACACACCCACTTAACTCCGGTGAGTGGCTCCCGCCTGATCTTTTTGCAGCACGTCACGTGCACGGCCGACTGCCGTCATGGCATCGTCGCAGGCTTTGAAACGCCCAGCTTTGTCGAACGAGACCACCTTGGTACGAGGCTTGCCAGTTAGAGAGCGTCCATGCGAGATAGCAAACACAAAGCTACCGTAGACATGGGCAACCCCAAATCGACCAACATCACACCAATACATCAATGGTGTCAGTCGCCTATTTTTTACGCTCATGCACCTTGTCATCCGGATCGGCGTACTTGATGAGCCCCACATACCTCGGCTGCGTCGGGGCTAAAGAAGCTTGTGCCTCGAGGAACATCTTGACCTCTTGCCACCTCCATCTTAGACGAGTCTCTGGGTGCAAACGAAACGATATGCGTCCAAGTCAGTGTCAGAGAGCGCTTTGAAGCGCTTCTTCATATCAGACAGCGCGTCCGCGGACTCAGCTACTCCCAACTGGCCATGATTTCAGTTGTTTGGCCTCTGGAGTGCATCTTGAAAGTTGAGGCCCAGTCAGACGCTTGTGCTGCTGATTGCACAAGGCCGAAAACACCAGCCAAAGGCACAAGGGTTGCGAACCTCAGTCTTGCTGACATTGCAACACCCTTGATGCAAAGACATGACTGCACCACCCACGCCCCAAGACATCCCCATTCCCATACCCAGGACCATGCCCAGACCCACCAGTGGATGATGGACACTTCGATCAAAAAAAACCGAGAAGGCCAAGAAGCGGCGGATACGACTCAACCACTGCCAACCGCTTGCTCTCCTCACCCAGGCCCAGCGCTCCGCGCTTCTGCCTCTTCCTTCTTCTCGCTTCTTCTAAGGTCTTGCCCTTCTTGGAGCCAACATGCCCTTTCCAAGTAAGTCACCGTCAAATGTGGTATTTGGTCCCTGACACGCGGTGAGGGTACTGCCATGTCCGCCTCTCTTCAAAACTAGGGTCACCCTTGGTGACACTCCGAAGGCTCCTCTGCGAAGGCAGGCGGTGCCAGCAGCACGGGAAGCTGACAAAGCTAAGGAAGTTCTATGGCTGAGCCTCTGACATCCATGGACCCGCCTGCAATAAAGCGCGCCGCGTCACACGCGTGTCCGTGCACGGCACCCAGGCGACCTTGGACTGCAGCTTTCAAGCTCTCGCGGTGCCATGGCAAAGCTTCCAGGCCTGGCTGGCGATGTAGGCCTGTCTTCGCCCCAAACATGAGGGCTGTGGTCAAAATATGGACCCTTTTTGGGACCTGGTGCCGCCTTGCCGCCTTTTACTGGGGATGCCAAACATGACAAGGCTTCATGCAATGAGCCCGCCGCACATCCCAGGAGAAGCGCGCGGGCTAGTAACTTACCGCGCATGATTCAATCAAATGGAGCAAGGCGGCGCTTCACCAACACGACACGCACACTGGCTGCTGCGATTAAACCTGGAGCTGCCAAAAAAACGAATGTTGGGTCTAGATTTTGTTGGCGATTTGCAGCTTTGTAGCTACCATGCTTATTTGATTGGCACAAGCTGGCGTCTTGAAGTCAGCTGGCGTCGAATGCACCCGGTCAATTCAAGTGAAGTTGCCTAGAACCTATACTGGCAGTAGTGGTGCGCCTGAGCAAAGAAGTGACAATGGGTACGTTCGCAGTTTTTCGCGGGCTCTCCGATCCATTCCTGAGCATTGGCATTGGGCTCCGAATTCCTTGCCCTTCAGATGAAATCGAGAACGCCGGCTGGCACGGAAGACGCCGCCGCCGCTCTGCCTGACATGGCGCCACTCAAGCCTGAACCCCCTCATCCATGGCCTCGGCGTGACCGGCGAGCAAGGCAGCTCTTGGGCTGACCTGACACGGCCACCAGAAACGCCCAAAGAGCAGAGGTCCAGAGCTCACCTTTCAACGCCTGAGCCGCTGCGGCTGGCTGAAAGTGTGCCTGGTAGACCCAGTTTTGTTGAGAAACCCTCGGATCGAACGGGCCTCCCTGGGCGAGTTCGAGGGCGAGGGCTCTGGTTCTGCAATAGATGGACGCCGCGGTCTTGCTTCAGTGTCGGCCTCAGTCAGCCAGTCGGTCCTGCAATGCGATGCTTCATCTTGTAAGCGCTGGACATCTTCACTTTCTGCAAATGACCTCGCAAATGTTCGACCGAGGTTTATTGAGGATCCATGCAGCGCTCGCTGCAGAACATTTTAAAACTCATCAATCATGAATGCAACGCCACACGGTGTGCGCACGAAAGTTCTGTGAATCGAAGTGCTCTGCTATGGCCCTTGCACCCTCAAGCTCCCTCGCGACTTGCGCCGGCGTCGATCCTGCAACATCCAAATCGCAACTGGCTGCAGTCCGTGCCAAGACCTGGCCTCTCGGATGTCCGCGGCAACAACCCGGCTGCCTTGGGAAGGCTCGAGGCGTAACATCAGGCAGGCGCGCGGTTGGCGCCTTCAGACTTCGCGCGCTGCCTCGCCTTCCGTTCATTCGCTGAGTGAACAAATTGGACTCGGCCCTCATCTGCCCGCCTCCTTGTCCCCGTCCTGTCGAGTCATGCCTACTTCTCTGAAGCGCACATCAGAGCTTAGCGGCTTTGAAATCAGCTCCTCAGCCTCTTCGGCAATGCCAACCTCGAGTACGTTTGAAGGGAGGGCCCAGGGCTCGGCGGGCAATCGATTGGAGGCCATCGAGGGAGGCAACCTCAGCCCCTGACCAGGACCGAGGAGAGCGAGGAGGTCCCAAACCTCGCAAGGGTGAAGCAGTTGGAGAAGCCGAAAGCAACACAACAGAAACGTAAACACGGCTTCCCCCTAAACAACGCTCGAGGGCCCTGCAACGATGCCAGCCTGATAGTGCCATGCATCAATACGAGCGGCTACTGAACGTGCCACGAACTGAGCATCCCGCGTCGCGGCAGCGTCAACAATGACATGCTGCAGCCGCCTGGGAGGCAAAAGCTCACTCCAAATAGCGGTTGAGTTTATTCCACCGAAAAGTGACCAAACAGAGGTTGCAGGATGAGAGCTTCCAACTGTGCTAATATGCCTGAGGCGAAGCGCGCAGCAGCTTCTGCGGCAGCATCTGCATCGGTCACATCGCTGGCCTTTCTGGCATCGCGATCTGGGGATTGAAGGAGCACGAAAGGGGGTTTGTTTGGAAAGGATGATGGATGATCAATGGGTCCAAAACGTCCCATTTAGGCTTCATTTGTTGCTTTTGGGAGGCGAATCTGGAAGCACGCTCCGGGATCCCTGCGCGGTCGCTTCCCGGGGAAGATGGCCTTCGGTGCACGCGACATCTCACGACATCTCATGGATGTTGATTTGAGAAACAAAATCATGTTTATGCCTATGGGGTTGTCCTTTTACTGGGGATTCATCACTTTTGGAGGGGGTGTTCCCCCATATTTAAAAAAAACAAGTGTTTGCTCATCCGGGATCAACATGAACTCTTCCCTGAGGGTGCTGCTCAAAGCGGCGCTTGGGGCAGCTGTCGGTAACCACCTGGCTCGCTGCGCACCTCTCTCCTCAGCTTCACTGAGCCCAGGCCTCTCGAGTCTCTCGAGTCGCCCGAGGCTCGCGATGGGCTGCGCTGCTGCGGCTCTGGGCGGCTGCACGGGCTGCTTTCAGCTCCTCGTGCAAGGCCTGGCTTCGAGGCCTTTTGCTCCATGGCGCCAGGCTTCAACACCTCCTGCTTGGCATCGCATCAAATGGCCCCCAAATTGATAACCCGGAGCGGGACAAAAGAACCACCGGTTGATTGGTCACCCAGTTCTACATCATATGTTTGGGTTTTTTGTCTTTGCCGGAACTCCGGATGAAACAGTGAGGAGGCCCTGCATATTCAGGACCAGTGCATAGACCAGACTCAGCGGGCTACCACCAATGTTGACTGAGGCTCTTGCAACTTTCTATGATGAATGGGACCCCATGTTAAAGCTAACCTGGAAACCGGGTAGCCTCAACAAAAGCACGCCCACACACAACCCCATTTCACATACTTGGAGCCCATTCGGTTTCTGCGCCTGGATGGCCTGTTTCAGCTCAGCCTCCCCCGAGCTGAGCAGCTGGTTGGCAGCTTTCACATCCTGTCACGACATACCCCTGGCTCGGAGCCCATGTTGACACACGCCCATATCGTCCGATGTCACCTGCCGGTCGCCTGTTGACACCCTGAAACAATGTGGCCTCCTCAAAGAGACGTCTCTGTGCCTTGAACTGGTCCTGCTTTTCTGCGAAAGGGTGGACAAGTAAAACTGGAAGAAGGACCCAGGAGGCCTAGACACAAAGCGACTCCTAAAGATCACGTGGCCCGTCAAACCATTTCTTTGCTTTGGCGAGATGTTTGCCATGCTGTGCCGCCCCACAAAGTGTTGCAGCAAGCGACTACTTGGGTACATTGGCGTGGCGTCAAATAGGAGGGACGGAGGACTAACGTTTTGAAACGTGTCTCAAGCCTCGTCTTTGGTATAACGCCGTGCCAAGCCCGTCTCCTTGTCATACAATCGGATGATGCGCTTCTTCTGCTCCTCCTTGCTCAACGGCCAGTCCTAGGCATAAGGCTGTAACGGCCACAAATGCGACGCGAGAGTTGAGCTCGCAGCACTCATCCGGCGACCGGGAAACGGAAATCGCGGTGAACAGTTTCTGCCAAATGGCAAAAGCCAAGTGTAGATCTGATCCCATCTGCAGCTCTGTGCTTTCGAGTTTTGTTGCTGCGGCTGCGGTGTGGTAGATAGCCACAACACATCTAGCCTGCAAGTCGTGAACCATGCTCGCTCATTTCCGGTCTGAGCCAAGTGGGCGCCATCCAAATGAGGTACTGAATTTCTGAATGGGCGATAGCGCAACATGGGCAGCGCACTGCATACAAGTGACTTCGGATGGACAGCGCTCAACTGCCGGGTGTCAGGCAACTTTATCAGCATCACCGCATGCTTGCGCTGATTTGAACAATGCTCGCGCCCTCCAGCCAGCCGCTGCCAACAAATTTTGCTACGACTCGTCACTCGTACTTCTGCCATGATTCCTTTCTGTGGTACATATCCCCAGGTCTGAGGTGGGGTTGCTGTAGCTGTTGGAGGGCTCAAGCAGTCCCAGTAACTTCGAAAGCCGAACTGGGAGTGGAAGGAACGGCCTAATCTCAGCGAAAAAAGAAAAGTAATGACATCAACTCATATTGCCCGTCTCTCTTTCTCTTTGTCCAGTTTTGAACATGCCCTCCTTCGCTGATTAAAATTACCACTTCATAGCTCTTCCGGGTCTGACCTCCGCGCTGTTTGACGGGGCTGCAACCCTTGCGTGCAAGCACCGAGCTTCACTTTGTTTGCAGTCTCTCTTAGTGCGTCTGATGAGAACCCATAGGCAAATCCCCCCACCAGGTCTTGCTTCTGCCTGCACTATCGAAGCAAGGGTCGCCTCCCCGCGTGCCAAAGGCCTTTTCACCGGACGGCTCAGACCTTCTTGTGGAGGGTGATCATGATCCTTGCCTTGGTGGCCAAACTCCTACTAAAGGCCTAGGCCTTGGCCTTTGGAGAAGCAGCGCATTTGACCCTGAGGGACAGGCGCAGCCGCGCTCGGAGCCGTTGCTGAGCTTCATCTCCTCAGTCTGCAGCTCTCCCTTCTTGGATGCGGTCCCTGGAGCGTTCCATAGAAATTGTTGCTTGACGTTGATGGGCCGTGCTTTCGTTGCTGCTTCACGGCACTGAGCCCGCCGCAGGATAAGACGTCTCAATCTTGTGGATTGTGGCCTGCATGGTCAAACAAAGCAAAGCCGCTAAAACGCTGTTCCAACTCAGGCGGGCGCCAAACCCTCCTGGACAACAGCACCAGCAGCCTGTGCCTAGGCCCATGGCTGCTAGTTACCGCCCACACCAACTTCCGAGCTCGGCACGGCGATGTTGATGGCATCGCCCAGGCCCGAAACATTCAGCACGCACACCTAAGCACCATGGCACAGGGACAAAGGGGAGGTACTCCGATGACTAAGGGTCCCACCGGATCACGCTTCTTGCCTTCCTTGTCCACAACTCCTGTGAAAAATGCCTTGGCAGAGTTCATGTAGAAGTTGATGCTCTTCTTGGCAGTCACCTGCACAAATGCAGGTGCGATTGCATGCTTGCATGCCGCTTCACTAGGTTTGTTCAGAGAGAACCCGGCCTTCATGTCCACCATGCCTGGGGTCGTCTCTGCTTCGTCAGCCATTGCGCGTGGCAATTTGCGGATTTGCGGGGCGGGGTCCAGGCAAGTTTTCAGCCAAAGCACTGCACAATGCACATTGCCAAGTCCATTGTTTTCAGGGTCCACGGGCAAACTACTGCAACAAGGGAATCCAGGAACTTCATCAGCCAAACGTTAGGCAGCATCTCCGAAAGCGCGCATTTTCAGCCATTCTGGGCCTCGAAATCGGCATCAGCAACTGTATAGGCCGGAAGCCTTCAGCCTCAGGCAGCGCATAGTTTTCAGGATTGGCCACAGCCAAAACGACTAGGCTCCTAGCACTGCAAGAGCAGTCTGAATCCGCTCCTTGTCACGTGGAACCTGTGACGTCCCCCATGAAATGTCGTGCTTGGAAATCTTGTCTCCACAGATTTTGTGAGGACCGAGGCAGCATCTAAGGCATGTAGACTGCAGACAGTAGGGCCAAACAGTGGACAGCAACACTCAAATTATCACTGCACCGCCACACACTTTTCTGTCTTCAGGACCTCATTATTGAGGTTCAACAACTAAAAAAGGGACAGCTATGTGCTAAGCAGGGGTGCACATAGTAAACAAGCTGGTCAAAGGGTGTGTGGCAAGCATGCAAAGCGAAGCTCTTCACGTTCACGCATCTTCGCATCTTCGCAGCACATTACTCCCGCCATGGCCAGCCACCCTTACGCAACAAAAAGCCCAAAGCACTCTAGGCACTAGGGCTCCCAGTGGGCAGAATAAATACATGGTTCTTTCTCTTTGCCGGCTGCTCGCGGTCATCTTGAACAACATCAGCGGAGCCAGCTGGAGGGCTTTGGCCATCCGCTCTTGGCGAGATGCTGATTGAAGCTTACAAATGAGAGTGACTCAGCCGATGGTGCGAGTGCGGTGCGTCAGCCCCTTGATTCGTTCCTTTGGAAGACAGAGGCTTCTGAGTATGGGAAAGTGGAAGTGAAGTATGCAAATATCCACAATAAATGCCAGCGGTCACGCGTTACAAGACAACGAAATAAGCAACGTGGGAAGGTGTGAAAGTGCTTGGTTTGACCTAGCAAACCCGACAGGGTCTGACTGCACAATCCGCGGTTCCTCAATGTATGACAGGCAAAAAAGGAAATGCGCGGATGTGGCAAGTAAGCGGCTACATGTCCGCAGCGCAAAAGTGTGGCATTCGTGGCACGCAGATAAACACACAGCCACACACACACACACACACCTTGTTCCAAATTAAAACAATATTAGACAGTGGGTAAGGATCGTGTTCCGCAAGCAATGAGCAAAGTACTTCATTGCATGAAGGCTGTCAAAGCAGTTCTACCGCTGCTGCTGCAACTATTTGCCCTCCTGCTGCTGACTGTCACTACGACCACTACCACCATTACCACCACTACCACCACTACCACTACCACCACTACCACCACTACCACCACCACCACCACTACCACTACCACCACTACCACTACCACCATTACTACCACCACCACTACCACTACACCACCACCATCACTACTGTCACTACTGCCTCCACCACCTCTACTATCTCTACAACCGCCACCACCAGCATTGCCATCACCAGCATTGCCACCACTAGCATTGCCACCAGCATTGCCACCAGCATTGCCACCAGCATTTCCACCACCACTGCCACGAGGCCGTCTTACTGATGCTACTGCCAAGATTCGTGGTGTTTTGCTCATAGAATGGCAACAGGACAAGCAGAATGTAAAGCAGCAGCAGCGCGAGTGCAAACGGAGCCACACACGACAATCAATCACGGAAAACTCATCTTCCAGCTGGAGTTTGTTTGCAGCGCTGTCCGGCCTTCCAACAGGCCTTTCTTCAAGCCTTCTTATGCAAGGTGATCATGATCCTTGCCTCGGCACTCCCCGCGCCCAACCAGGGCTCAACAAAGCGTCGACGAGTTCTAAGGGACAAGCGCAGCCTCGCTCGGAGCCGTTGCTGAGCTGCATCTCCTTTTGTGTGCGACCACTACTTTCTGAGTGCGTCCACAACTTTGTCAGGCGCTTGACGCTTGATGGGCCATGCTTCCTTTTGCTGCTTCATGCCACTTAGCTCGCCGCAGGATAAGACGTCTCAATCTTGTGGATTGTGGCCTGCATGTTCCACCACGCAAATCAAACAAAGCGAAGCCGATCAAATGCTTCAACTCAGGCGGGCACCAAACCCTCCTGGACAACAGCACCAGCAGCCTGTGCCTAGGCCCATGGCTGCCAGTTGCCTAGCATGCCAACTTCCGAGCTCTGCACGGCAATATTGATGGCATCGCCAAGGCCCGAAATGTTCAGAATGTTCACCTGGAAAGTGCATCGGAGCTTAACAAGGGAAAGCCGACCCACGTACAATAGCTTATATGTCAATCTGAGGGATGCACGGGATCACGGTTCTTGCCTTCCTTGTCCACAACTCCTGTGAAAAAGGCCTTGGCCGAATTCATGTAGAAGTTGATGCTCTTCTTGGCAGTCACCTGTGGCTCATGCAACCCTCCTGGCGCTTCACTCTCAAAGCTCAGTCCGGCCTTCATGTCCACCGTGCCTGGGGTCGTCTCTGCGCCAGCGTCAGCCATTGCGTGCAGCTTTTCGCTGGGTCTGAGTCCAAACAAAGTGTCGGAGCCAAAGCGCTGCTTCCGGTCACATACAAACATTCAAACTTCAATAAACTCACAAGCGGATGATAGCCCGCCCGTGACAAGCCGAAGTCGGAGCTTGAAAAGGCACTTCTCGCAAAGGGCTGTTCGATCACGAATCTGTTGAATTCCCGCATTCCCGGGGGTGGCAAGACAACTTGGCAATCGCATTTTGCTCAGCCATCACGTGCGCCGAACTTGGCTTGAGCAGCTGTGTACAAGGATGTCCTCTCCCTTGTGGACATCCCGGAAGCCTTCAGCCTCCGCCATGTGTCAGAAATGGAGGGCCACATGTCTGAAACAGCTGAGCGCCCGGCTCTGATAGGGCAGCCTGAATAAGTTCCTTGTCCTCAAACAGCACAGGTGTGTGTGTGTGTGTGTGTACATGTGCGCGTGCGTGCATGCGCGAATTCTATTAAACTCCATCTGACCCGATGCATAGGATACAATTCAAACAAATGACCAGTGTTGCCATGGGGTTCGTCCCGTATACGCTCTGAGAGTTTTCCGCTACTCGGGTTTCAGGTGGGGATTTTCACGTTGGTTTGAGCGCCTTGGCCAGCACGGCTTGCTCCAGCTTGCTTTGAGGCGCCTGCGCTCGATTCGGTTTTGGGGCATCAGCATGGCGCGCCCGCGCCAGGGCGCGCCTCGGGCTGTCCACTCCTTTTGTTCTGGACTTGGACAGGAGCCTCAGAAGGGCCATGGACATCTTGCAGACAAGGAACAACTCAATGTCTAACGTGTGCTGCACGAAAAAAAGGGAACATATCTTTCTTCAATTTGCCGTCCCCTGCAAGCTGATTGATAGAGCCGAGCAGCTGAGGGCACGTCTGTCCGTGCTGGGCCTTCTGCATCCACCTCCCAAGGTTTGAGGGTGTGGAGGTTCTGAGGGCCTTCATCAAGCCTTTGCCTTCTGCAACTCCATCTCATTTAGAAGGTCCTGCGCCTTCTGGACCTCAGCCTTTCCGAATGCGCAAGAAGAATGCAGCATCCCAACGAGTGATGCAAAGCCAGTGAGAGATGGCGACAATGGTGCTGTTACGCTTGCTCCTGCCTGGGGCAAGCACGACCGTGTGGCAGACGCAATCGCGAACTTCAACTTCTGTGTGTTTTCCTTAAGGCGACATACCAATGCTGCTGCAGTTTGTTCAATGATGACAACTCTCAGGCTCAAGGTTTAAGATGTTTAAGAACAACAGCGAAACCATATTGCCTTGCAGGTTTCTGGTGTGCTCATGGCCTGCGCAAGTTCCTTGCGCATTTCGGCCCGTGCCCACATCCCTGGGAGCCTGCCAAAGGCTTCGATCGAAGAAACCAAGTTTGTTTTTCACGTGAAATCGCTCCGTGTGCCTCCGTCGTGCAGCTGCAACCTGCTCGTCCGGCAAGATGCCTCCAATGGCTCATTGGCATGCGGTTTGATGATGGTTGCAAAGTCAATTGGCGCAGCTGGAAGGAAACAGCGTAGCAAACATTGCCCAGCGGAATAATGAGAAGCCTTTGTACTGCTCCAGGATCTTCAGGAGCTCTTTTTGGTCATCCGTGCTAATCGCAGCTTGGACCTCCATCGGTTGCATTGCATGTGTCGCCATCCCCCACGTGGCTAGGCCACGTGGGGCTTTCATTGAACGTGACCAGCAAAAACAATTATGCATGTGAAAACATACCGCCCATAAAGTGCAAACTTGTTGCCCGAACGTCTGAGCCCGGTGCCTGTTTTGAAGCCGCCTCCACTTGAGACTCAAGCTCGGCCTCTCGTTGCCTTTCTAGTGCGGCCATCTCTTCCTCCTCAAGTCTCTGCCGCTCATCCTCCTACAAAAAATGCACCAAGTGACCCTCACAGCTGCTGGGGTGGTGTTACCAGGGAGACATAATGCGCTCCCTTCTGGACTCTCTGGGCAAGCCTCTTGAAAGAACTTGCCTCTCATGCAATGCCTGGGCCTTGCCTCTGCCAGGATTTCCTCGATCGAGCGAATGGGCTCATCAACCTGAACCAGAGACGAATCGCCTTTAGAAGTTTCCTTTGTTGGAGGTTGCAACCATATGTGTTGCCCTCCCGGCTTCCCTTTCCTCTTTGAAGAAACGCTTTAGGCCATGAGCGAACACTGCAGAAAAACCCTTAAACCGTGGCTTTCAGCTCTCAGGGCAAAGCTGTGAAACCATGTGAAACCATGTCAAACACAAGCAGGCTTTGCTGACACCAGGGAGGGGGCACATAGCCTGTAAAATGCTGGCAAAGACCTTGCGCATTCACTGCTCACTGATACTTGCGCTTTGGTTGGCTGGCATTCGCAGCTCGCTCCGGCCCCTCCACTGCGGGAAGGTCGGGCGCACGTGACCGCCTGTCCTTCTGAAAGTCTGTGAGGTGCAGCGCAAGGGTTTCAGTGTCCACTCTGCGCAGCACCGTGCCCTTGGCCTTCAGATACCGTCTGGTCTTTTCTGGCATTCTCAGCATCAGCGGTCCCAGCTGCTTTTGCGGCCGCGCCGGGCCAGGGCTTCATTGATGCGCGGCCAGTCCAGTCCAGTGGCCGGGCAAAGCGCGTCAGGTTGGGCATGGTGAGGCCCGCGCTGCCTAGACGATTGGTGTGCGTCAACAGGTCGTGCAAGTCATTGCCCCTGACGCAGAAGGTGCTGAAGCCCGGCAAGGAGTTCGGCAGCGCGTCAGCCCCAGCACTTCCTCGATCCTCAAACCATGGCCACCATGTGGCACAAACCAGTGGCACTGGTTCGGATCCTGGCAAGGGCTCCGCGACGTGAAAACATCCGGGCGGCTGCTTGGTGAAGCTGCCTGGCTCGAGGATGAAGTTCCCATGAAGGCGCGAAAGCGGGCCCTGCCCTCTTCGTTTGAGATGAAGTCTTTAAAAGGCATGCCCGTGCAGTGCCGAGCAGTCTGACATTTGCCGACCAGCCGTTCTCGCGCAATCCTTTGAGGACCCTTCTGAAGCCTGAGGCCAAGGAAGCTGTGTCCTGTGACGTTTGGGATTCCTGGATGCTCGCTTGGCCTACCCAAGGCATGAAAGTACTCAATGTGAATTCCACCAGAATACGGATTAGGGCGAGCAACAAGTCATCTTGTCCAGCAGAGAAGCACTCACTCGAAAGCAGCGCAGCTGAGAAAGGAAACCGCAACCCAAGCGTCCGGCCAGCAGCATCCACGAATAATCTTACTTGTAATTTTACCGACAGCAATGATCGGAATCGGAATGAGGCGCCGCCAGCCGGGCACACTGCGCCAAGCTCGTGCATGACCTGCGCGCAAGCGATGCTGCGCCCACTCATTTCGTAGCCGGTGGCGATAGCAGAGTACATGCCGAGCACCAGCAACAGATTCCATTCAAACTGCCGGCAAATTTTGTAGAAACAAGCCGAAGTAAGAGCAGTTTTCATCACGCTCTGCTCTTGTGCCCCCCGTTTCACCGGGAAGATGTTGCCGATGCTGAGCCACGTGCTCCCCCACATGCGGGAACCGCGACATGCACGCATGTCAAGATCGCAGACACTAATACAGCCGCTTCCACGAGTGGATCCATACCAATGGCGGCGTCGAACCCAAAGCGAGAGATGGCGAAACTGATGTTGAAGCCTTGAGCCATGTGCCCACATGTGCCAAACCTCCCTGGGCGAGATAACATACTAACAGGATCTCTGACCTTTTGACAAAAATAAGAAGAACAGTGATCCAAGTTCCACGTTGGCGAGTTCGTCCTCGACTCTGCGCGCCTCCGAAGCGACTCAAATGACCCGGGCCTCGCCTCATCGGCGGAAGCTTTCGCCTTGCACGTCACGGGTCCAAGTCCACTTCATGATTGGGGAAATCACCCCCCCTGTTGCTTTGAACAACCTTGGAGAAGAAACCATAGTACATCCACACTTGCGGATCTCAATATGGTGGGGGGTCCAAACAAGTCTTTCGCGCGATTGGCGCTTCTATTCTCCGTTCTGCCGCTGAAACTCCCCTTTCCTCTTGGATTGGCAGCGTGGAGAAAGACGCCATTGCGCCAGGTAACAGAAGCCTCCCACCACAGTGGCCAAGGGCCGAGGGCTCAAGACGTTGCTAGTGGCCTAAGCCCAACCCCCTGCACCCAACCACGTGACAGAGCCTTCCCCAGTCCTGAACCTAGTAAGCCGGTGAGACTCGGGGTTCATGATAAACGAATGCATGCTATTTGCCAGCGCTCCTGTATGGCCGCAAGCTCCCGGTAGCCCCACCGCACCTCAGCAAAACCCGGCAGGCTCACGACTGGGCCATATTTTGAAAAGGTGGCAATTACACCAGCGAAGCAGCATGTACCCCTTTACTAATTACTCATGAGGAAGCTGTGCATAAGGGTCCATATTGCGAATCGATACTTGTTTGTCCCCCCACAAGCAGAAGAGGAAGAAACTCCTCAAGCGAAGTGCCTTCAGCAGGAGACATCCCTTCTCTCAACGACAATGGGTATTCGGTATGTCCGAAAGAGGGCTTTTGATAGCTCACGCCTTTGGCAGTCTGACAATCCGAAGTGGCACTGAGCACTGGGCAAAGCAACATCCGGAATGCATTGAAACCACGGCTCATTCCCAATCAAAGATGCCAATGGCGCTGCCCTGTGGCTTCCTTCCATGCATGTCCTGAATTTGGATACTCCCAGCTCCTCAGCTCCCTTCCAACCACCTAGTTTCTGATTCCCCGTTTTGATGAAAGGAAACTTGGCTGCTTTCTGCTCCCCTGCCAAAAGTCTAACTTTTAGTGGCTCAAGGAAAAAACATTAATCATTAGTTGGCAAAAAGTTCAAGTCCTAACGGTCCTAACATCCAAGCAAAATGCGCCAAAGGAAAGTCTCCTGCGTTGGACTTGGGCCGTGGCTTCCACTTCCAAGAGCTTCCCGCTCTGCAGGGCCTGTCTCAGCCTTGTCTCATCCCGGCCTCAGCGACGTCTCCGGCGAACCGGCGAACGGGGAGCGGGAGGAACTCAGAGATCCAGATTGCATGTTGGAATAGCACAGCCACACCGGATTTTGGGTGCAGTTGCCCGGGCCGCACTCAGATCCCCCTGCTAAAATATATATATATATAACAAAGCTTTTAGAGGGTTAAATGAAAATGCACCCACGAAACCCCAAACACCCTGAGCACCTCTTGGCGCCTGGACCCTGGGGCTCGGATTTTTTTCCCATGAGGCAGGCGCTGGCAACGGCCTCATGCAGATCCAGCCGTACGGCGTTCTGCTGCGAGATGAGCTCCTTTTGCTCAGCTTGCAGCGTTTTTCCGAACAAAGATCCCAAGCTCTCCGTTTTCTGATCTGCTAAAAGTGACGAACGCTTAGTGCCTCAAATGAAAACCCAACCACTAAAGCAACTAAAAAAGCTGAAGCTAAGGGGATGGCTTGGAACAACCAAGATATGCGTCTGCTATTGTCTGCCAGCTGCTCAAGACCGATGCTCAGGAGCGCTGATTGATGAGCCAAGCGCCTAATGCAAAGGCACGCAATCAAGCTCACCAACAAAAATAGACAGCAAGGCCACCATCTTGAATTGGCCTATGGTACGACAGCTCAGCTTAAACACTGGAAAGCTTCACCCAAACCTCCTTCAAATCAATGCGCCGGTAATGCGTGGTCAGGGTCCTTCAAATCGGCAAGCTCCTGTGTAGGGTCCGCAGCGGCATAGCCGGTCATGACCCTGGATGATTGATTCCCGCTGTAGATATGGTGCGCTTTGGTGTGCGATGCTGCGCTGCAAAGGGGGCCACCTCCCTAGGCGTCAATGAGAACTTTGTAATTTCCGGGACAGCTTCTGACAAATGCACTTTGCATCTGCAAGGCGTGACTCAAGCATGCCGCGTTGGCAATGCTAAGCACGTGAACCTTGAGCCCAACACCGGGGTTTTTCGTGGAGACTGGCCCGGGTTTGCTGCCATGCCTCGAAATTGGGTTTCCACCTAAGGCATCTCAATGGCCGCCGGGAAAAGCCAAGGTCGGACCGGTGCGCCCATCCATTTGTTCCAATCACCGTCCCTGTCTGACACCTTGGGAGTCAGTCGGCTCAAGCTCTGAGCTGAAGTGCCACAAAAAGAAGCGGAACTTGCCTTCTGTAGGGGCTTGCTATGTACCACGGCCGAAATGAGCCTTAAACTCCGGCAGCTTTGAAGGCACTTTCATCAGGAAGCGTTCCTGCAAAAGCTGGCGCAATTGCAGGCCAGCTTGCTCCATCATTTCTCTGGTGGCCAAGTCCGGACTCCTCACAGGGGTCGCCGGATTTCCCGTTTGCCATTTGCTGGCTTCCATTGAAACGATCGCCACTTTTGAGGTTAGAAGGACAAATGGAGGGAGCCCTGTCCTCATGGCCTCCTGGCAATGTGCAATCAGTCGGCAGCAGCAGCAGAACTCCTCGAGGCTGGCGCAGGCCGGCGAGGTCACCGAGGCCCTCCACACCTCCCGCAGGACTTTCCGCGGCAAGCCGCTGGTCTTGAGGTACTCGGCCATGGGGTCCGCGTCCAAGGCGGGCTTATTGCTGGAGTACGGCAAGAGCTGTGCAAAGGCGGCCTGGTAGCTGGCCTCTTCCGCCTTGCTCCACACGGGCTTGGCCGTCGCCACCACCGGCTCGTTCGCCGCCTTGCGGAGGTCGGCAGATCCAACATCAAGCCTTGGCGCATGGAACATGCACTGAGAGCATACCTACGGATTGCCAAGCTGCAGCTTCTCGAACCAGTCATCCGGGCCAGCTCCGGCCAACTGATAAGCAACTTTTACCTGAAGCAACGCATCCAAACAATGCATATCACAAACGTGCTTCTGGCATGTCTTACTCATGCTGGTGGGCCTTGTCAGGAAAGGTTTGCGTGACGCGCCCAGGGCACCATACCTGCTTGGACTGGCTAAACCTAGGCAGCAGCCCCCATCAGGGAACCAAGCAATTCGGGCGAAGGTTCTGAGATCCTGGCACCTCGATCCAATCTCCGACTCTCCAGGCAGAGCCAGACTTCTCTGGGCTGCTGGGCTTCCTTGGGCACGTGCAGACTTCGGGGCTTCCATGGCTTAGGCGTGCTGCCACGGCACCACCTGCGAATGTCCTCACCCGGGGACAACAAACACACGCACACAAGCTGCTTCAAAACAGAGGGCACAAGCAGGAAACACACGGCTCTGGACCCCGCGCGCAGCACGGCTAACCTTTATCTTGAAAACAACCAAACACACCCACTCACACACCCACGAACACAAACAGAAAAAGACGCAGAACGCGGCACATACACAGGCACATACACAGGCACAGTGCAATATGCAAACATACACACAAACACGCACAACCACATAACCACACCACGGCACAACCACACAACCGCACAACCACACAACCAACACACACACACACACAAATGCACACAATACACATACAAATGCACAAACAGGACTACACACACAAAACACACAGACACAAATACACACACACACAAAGCACACACACACAAAAACACACACACACACAAACACACACACACACAAATACAAAAACACAAATGCACACACACACAAATACAAACGCACACACACACACATGCACACACAAATGCGTACACACACACAAATGCACACACACGCACAGATGCACATGCACATGCACACACACAGAAGTGCACACACACACACACCAATTCCACACACACACAAACACACACACAAATACACACACACACATACACACACACACCGGCACACACGCGCACACACACACACACACACAACACGCACACACACACACACACCCGCGCACCCACCCACGCACGCACGCACGGACGAACGGACGCACGCACACACGCACGCACACACACACACACACACCCGCGCACCCACCCACGCACGCGCGCACGCGCGGACGAACGGACGCACGCACACACGCACGCACACACACACACACACACACACGCACGCACGCACACACACACATGCCCGCACACACGCCCACACGA